GTTTATTGTGGATGTCGCACCGATGAATGGCCGATTTTTTATGAATGGCCGCCCTTCCGGTACAAATTCGTTTTACAACTATATTGTCACGTGTTTGGTATCCGGTGTCAGGCTAGTTGCATTGTGAATCGAAAGAAGTTTATGACCCTCCGGATGGTTATTCATAGAAAAGGAATTTTAACCTAATTAGAAGATATTGATGGATTATTTATGGGTAAACGCTTAATTTGAGTCGTGTTTAAAGTAGGCGACAAACCGACAAACCGGAAAAGATCAAGAACTACAGAACGAAAAGCCAAGTAAAAGGGCGAAGGCAGAGGAGGAAAACGTACAAAGCAAATGAAGCAGAAGGGTCATCACCCGAAGAATGGAGGACAAGGAAGATCGATAGAATGAAATTCAAAGACGGAAACCAGATTGAGTCCATTGAGAACCTTCAGAACCCTGCAGTAATCTATAGTCGAAGTTTGGGGGATTTTAGAATCTTCCGGTGTTGAGTGTCTTCAAGGAGATTTGGGTTTTTCACTTCATTTCACAGGTTCCCATTCTTCAAAGGCCTAAGATTCTTTAGAGTCTTGAGAGCCTCCAGGGCCTCTAAAGCATTAAGAGATTTCAGCGTCTTCTTCAAAAGGGTTTGTAAAGGTACCTTGGCGTTTTGGTGAAGTTTCAAATTCCTTATATTCTAAAGAAACTTTTCGGTGTCTTGGGAGATTTCATGGTTTCCGGACCCTTTGGAAACTCTCACTCTCACTCGCACTCGCACTTTCGCCCTCGCCCTCGCTCTCGCTCTCACTCTCACTCTCACTCTCACTCTCACTCTCACTCTCACTCTCACTCTCACTCTCACTCTCACTCTCACTCTCACTCTCTCTCCCACTCACTCTCACTCTCACTCAAGCGGAGACTGAGAAAAAGGAGAGAGAACGCAGAATTGAAAAAAGAGGAGACAGTGAACTGATCGGAAGGGAAACGGAAAACACACAAAAGTAATAGAACAAAATGATGGAAGGAGTAAAAGAAAAAATAAGAAAGGCGTGATAAAGTGATAAAATTAAAGGGAAGATGGAGGAAATTGGAGGATTAAAGGAGAAAACAAAAAGAAGGAAAGATCAATGGGAAAGAAAATAATAGAATAGAAGGAGAGAACATAAGAAACAATTAGACGCTAAAAGAAATAAACATGGAAAAGTGAATAGAGAAAAAACACGTAGAAATGGCTCAAAGAAAACCTATAAATAGAAGTGGACGTAAAAGAGGCGACAACAATTTATATTTATAGTTGACGTATGTAGAAAGAAGAGTACAGGACAAAAGTAGAGAGGAGGCGGGGAGAGTAAGAGGAAATGGCAAGAATGTAATCTGGGGATATAGAAGTTTTGTGATAAAGGACGAAGAATGCAGATGAGGTAACAAAGAAAAAGTGAAAACAGGGGAGAAGAAAACGGAAGAAAGAATATCAAAGAAAAGAGAGGGAATAGGAGGGAGAGGGGCAAAAACGTGCAAGAACCCAACTATATAAAAATGGGAAGTAACATAAACTAATGTTCTGAAATGTGGCAGGAGTTGCAAGCAAAGACGCTCAATTCTGTGAGTTTGATGCGGAGATAGTAGAATCGCGGATAGATGCAAAGAACCGAGAGAGAATAAAGAATGGGATACCGGGAATGGGAAAGGAACACAAACATTTCTTGAAAATCTCTTCAGAATCTCTCTAGAGCCTCTTCAAAATCTCTTTAGAATTTCTTTAAACTCTGTTTAGAATCTCTTCAAAGTCTCAATAGAGTCTCTTCCAAATATTTTCAAAATCTCTTCAAAATGTTTTTAAAATCTTTTCAAAACCTCTTTGAAATCTCTTTAGAATTTTTCAGAATCGCTTTAAATCTCTTCAAAATCTCTTCAAAATGTCTCTTTAAAATCTTTTCAAAACCTCTTTAAAATCTCTTTAGAATTTTTCAGAATCGCTTTAAAATCTCTTCAAAATCTCTTCAAAATGTTTTTAAAATCTTTTCAAAACCTCTTTGAAATCTCTTTAGAATTTTTCAGAATCGCTTTAAATCTCTTCAAAATCTCTTGAAAATCTCTTCAAAATCTCTTCAAGATCTCTTTAAAATCTTTTCAAAACCTCTTTAAAATCTCTTTAGAATTTTTCAGAATCGCTTTAAAATCTCTTCAAAGTCTCTTCAAAATGTTTTTAAAATCTTTTCAAAACCTCTTTGAAATCTCTTTAGAATTTTTCAGAATCGCTTTAAAATCTCTTCAAAATCTCTTCAAAGTCTCTTCCAAATCTCTTCAAAATCTCTTCAAAATCTCTTGAAAACCTTTTCAAAAACCCTTCCAAATCTCTCAAACATTTGTTCATGGTCTCTTCCAAATCTCTTCAAAATCTCTTCATACTCTCCTCAAAACCTCTTTAAAATCTCTTGAAAATCTCCAAAATCTTTTCAAGGTTTCTTCCAAATCTGTTCAAGATCTCTTTAAAATCTCTTCAAAACCTCTTTAAAAACTCTTTAGAATCCTTCAGAATCGCTTTAAAATCTTTTCAAAATCTCTTCAAAATCTCTTTAAAGTCTCTTCCAAATCTCTTCAAAATCTCTTCAGAATCTCTTGAAAACCTTTTTAAAATCTCTTTAGAAATTTTCAGAATCGCTTTAAAACCTCTTCAAAATCTCTTGAAAATCTCTTCAAAATCTCTTCAAAATCTCTTCGAAATCTCTTCAAAATCTCTTCAGAATCTCTTCAAACCCTCTTTAAAATCTCTTCAAAATGTCCAAAATCTTTTCAAGATTTCTTCCAAACCTGTTCAAGATCTCTTTAAAATCTCTTTAAAACCTTTTTTAAAACTCTTTAGAATCCTTCAGAATCGCTTTAAAATCTTTTCAAAATCTCTTCAGAACCTCTTTAAAGTCTCTTCAGAATCTCTTGAAAACCTTGTTAAAATCTCTTTAGAAATTTTCAGAATCGCTTTAAAACCTCTTCAAAATCTCTTGAAAATATCTTCAAAATCTCTTCGAAATCTCTTCAAAATCTCTCAACACCTCTTTAAAGTCTCTTCAAAATCTTCAAAATCTCCAAAATCTTTTCAAGATTTCTTCCAAATCTGTTCAAGATCTCTTTAAAATCTCTTGAAAACCTTTTTTAAAACTCTTTAGAATCCTTCAGAATCGCGTTAAAATCTTTTCAAAATCTCTTTAGACGCGCTTTAAAATCTTTTCAAAATTTCTTCAAAATCTCTTCAAAGTCTCTTCCAAATCTCTTCAAAATCTCTTCAGAATCTCTTGAAAACATTTTTAAAATCTCTTTAGAATTTTTCAGAATCGCTTTAAAACCTCTTCAAAATCTCTTCAAAAACTCTTCATAATCTCTTCAAAATCTTTTCAAAATCTTTTCAAAATCTCTTCAAAATCTCCAAGTTCTCGTCCAAATCTCTTCAAAATCTCTTCAGAATCTCTTCAAAGCCTCTTTAAAATCTCTTCAAAATCTCCAAAATCTTTTAAAGGTTTCTTCCAAATCTGTTCAAGATCTCTTTAATATCTCTTTAGAATTCCTCAATATCGCTTCAAAATCTCTTCAAAATATCTTCAAAATTTTTTTAATCACTTGAAAGCCTCTTCAAAATCTCTTTATAGTTTTTTCAAAATTTCTTGAGAGCCTTTTCAAAGTCTCTTTAGAGTCACTTCGAAATCTTCAAAGTCAAGAGGTAACGAATACAACAAAGAGGGAGAACTGTTACTGCAATTATCAGAGAGAGGATGACAAATTTGAATCGGAAATAAGAGAAGAACAGGGAGGTCTCAATTGCTTACATACTAATACATGAAAAAATACCAGAAGAAATAAAAGAATTTAGAGTAGGAACAAGGATAGGATTGGATCTCCGCCAGAAAGATGCAAAGGACGAATGGTAGACAAGATACACTGTGAAGACTAGAGAAACAAAAAGAAGAAATAGAAGAGAGTAGAGGAGAATGCAAAAAGTTGATGGCAATAACGTAATCGGTAATGAAGGGGAATGGAGAGAGAAACAGATGCAGAACAATGATGGAAAAAAAGACAAGGAGAGATAATATCTATATATAGAAGAGGGGTTGAGACAAGAGAAAAAAGTACAAAAGAAAGTGCAAGGAAGAAAGAGATGAAGAAACAGAAAGAATGTGGAAATCAAAGAAATAAAAACAGAGCAGAACTTTCGGAAGCACTTCATTTCATTTCCATTTTATGGATTTAAAGGCAGTAGAAAGGGAAAGGTATGAAAAATGAAGGATGGGAAAATAGATGATGATGAGAAGGAAAATGCGGGGAAAGAAAGGGAATGAAGTTAAATGCCGAAAAATCGAAGATGTTAAGATAAAGAAGAGGCAAACAAGGGAAAAAGGAAAAAAGTGGCAGTGAGACAGGTGTGGGGAATAAGAACGAGGAAATTCAAAAAAGGGTTCAGAATAATAAAATGGTGCAATGGTGAGAGGGATGCTGATTGCCGAGGTATGGAACGGAGATGTGGGGATGGAAGGAATGGGATGAACTGGAAGGAAAACAAAGAAAGCACTAGGACTAAATAAATAACATAAAACCAAACTACAAAGAGGAAACAAAAATTGATAAAGACGCAAGGTAATGAGATTCGAGGAAAGAGGAAAAAGAGAAATTGAATTGGTGAAAGAATATTTGCGATACCTAAAAAAGGCGAAAGTGTCAAGGAACGCTAATGAAATTAAGAGAACAATTTTAGAAGAACCTGTCCACTCCCACCCCGTTCTACAGCCTTACTTAATTACCTACCTGGCAAGTCCCAATTAATTAAATGAGAAAGGCGCTACCCGGGCGCTACCAAGCGAATTCGGCCGAAATTTAATTAAGGGCATAATTGATGTAGGGACAAACAGCCCATAATAAAATTCTAACGACGCGACTTGCCTTCTCTAAATTCGATATTTATTGAAAACGGAAACGGTTCCTGCTTTTAAAAGATCTCGGTGTTTATTTTCATTTCTGTTAAGCGTCGGCGCTGCCGAGGGTGGAATTTTCGAAAAACCGCTCGCCGCTCACGCCGAACCGAACTAGGGGGGTGTCTACCCTTATAATATAGCGCTGGGAAACGGAAACGTCACTTTAAATTGAGGTATCGTCGAAGTCGTTTGTGTGCCTGTGTCGTTTTTGTGCGATTTTTCCATCGGCAGCTCGGGAAACGTCTGCAGAGGTGAGTAGACGAAATTTTGCGCGTTGCGTAATTCGCGCGATAAATTAGTTAAACAAAGAATGGAGTGAAACCAAGTGCGAACAAATAATAACGAACCTCCGAACGGCGCGGAAAAAAAATGATAATGGCAATTGAAAATTGGTGATAATACATTTCCTGTTCCCGTCTCTATAACGGACAGACTTTGCTTTTAAATACAGCAAGGATACGGATATCCTGTTTGTGTCCTTTTATATTTGTGTTTTTATTACATATAAGCGATGGACCATTCCGGTGTATTCATTATTTGATTTTTTTTGTTATATGTATAGGCAAATAGTTTTCATCTTGACGCGATCCTCGATAGTCGGAAAAGCGGTTTTCCTTGCGCGACATCAGTTTCGATACTGACTCTTATTCATTTAACGGGGTGAGTTACTTTATTATATCGGAAATAAATGCATTTCAATCCATAATCCAAAAATCCCACACGAATGAAACTTCAAAAACACGTTCCCCCACAGCCCCAGTTACCATGATTTCAAAATTATAATATGCACCCCCTTCTTCTTACAGACCATTCAATTTTCTCTCTCTTGAAATTTGTCTACACTCATTAATATTATCAGGCGAATCCATTTACGTGGATATCGTCGATTGAGCCAGAGTATAGTTAATGTCGCGGTGCCCCATCTTGCCGAAACAGAAGTCACTTACTTCATTCTATATCGCTTGTAACTACATGACTTGTACTCCCGATATTTCATTGAATGCTAGAACTACGAACAGATCATATCCAGTCCGTCCGAATCTGATATTGTGCCTCCCTTTTTCTGTGAAAGAACTGTATGTCATTTATAATGCATAATTTAAGTGAGAGTAACTGGCGTTGGGGAGGTGAACGCCAAAACTAAGGTAAACCTTCCATTAAAATTGTCCCTAGCTAGCTAAATAGATGAGGGTCTGTGTTTTTTTTAATCAAAATTACTCTCAGTGGTTCGTTTTAATATGAAAGTTGCACCATTTTGTGTCCTAAGGTGTTGCAAAAAAAAACGAGCAATTTAAAAGAGTCGCGAAAAATTGCTCGTGAGCAAATTATGTTCTCACCGAATCGACAGCATAGCCTAAAATAAAAAAAAACACTTTGTGCAAAATTAGAAAAAATCAGTTTCTTAAAAGTACTTTCCATTTATTGTATTTACTTCTCATGCATAGCTTCGCCTGTTATCGAACGAAGTGCCTAAACGTAGTAGCCTTTTGAGACGTTTATTAAATCGATCGATTTGCCTTTAGTAAAAGGGACTACTGTTAAAATTTCAGTAAGATCGGTCCATTAATAAGAAAGTTAGTTCTGCGCATGCGCAGAAGTATGCGGCTTACCGGTCTGAAATTTACAGTAAAACTGTAATACCCCCCAGACTCACCGGTAACACTCTCAAGATAGTTTTTGGGGGTAACATTGTCAGATTACCTTACAAGTACTGCAAAAATGTAAGACCGGAGGGGCTGGGTGGTATGGAATACCCCCCAGAAGCAAGAAGATTTAAAGATAAGATTTAAAGATAGCCCCTTTTCTATCATCCTCAGTAACCTCTTGGTGGCTTTTTGGAGGTGACACTAAACTGTCGTCTGCTGGGCAGTATTCCATACCCCCCAGACCCCCTGGTAACACTCTTGCGATAGTTTTTGTGGGTAACACAAGTAATGTTTTTTAGGTCAACCCAAAATTATCCACATTTGATCTCTTACGGTACCCAGCTTAATTACTTAAATAGTACTTTCGGCTTAGATATAACGAGGTTAGAAACCCGACGGTACATTGCCTCCACAATTTTTGTCTTCAAAATTTTACACAACTTGTTATACTCTTCCGAATTACTTCAAGAAATTAAGCTTAAGGTGCCATTTGTTAAGCTAAGGCAAAATAATACTATTTTTGTAGTTAACAACACAACTTCCCCACTTATTAAGATCTTGATCGCTTTAAATAAGTTATCCTCAGTGAATGATATCGACTTTTTTCACGATCCCCTAAATTCAATAATAAATAAAATTAGATCCTAGTCCTAATATTTGTTCAGAGCCCCAGTGCCATGTAATTGGAATTTTTATTCTGTATGGTTTCTGGTTAAATAAATAAATAAATAAATAAAACATTGTCAGATTCTCTTTGCCTTACAAGTACTGAACAAAATGTAACACCGGGAGGCCTGGGGGGTATGGAATACCCCCCAGAAACAAGAAGATTTAAAGAGTGGTGAGGGTTTAACGCCACTCATTAAAGAAAATCTCCATAGCTCCTTTTCTATCATCCTCGGTAACCTCTTGGTGGCTTTTTGGAGGTGACACTTAAACTGTCGTCTGCTGGAGGGTATTCCATACCCCCCAGACCCCCCGGTAACACTCTCGCGATAGTTTTTGTGGGTAACATTTTCAGATTCTTTTTGCCTTACAAGTACTGAACAAAATGTAACACCGGGAGGCCTGGGGGGTATGGAATACCCCCCAGAAACAAGAAGATTTAAAGAGTGGTGAGAGTTTAACGCCACTCATTAAAGAAAATCTCCATAGCCCCTTTTCTATCATCCTCAGTGACCCCTTGGTGGCTTTTTGGAGGTGACACTTAAACTGTCGTCTGCTGGGGGGTATTCCATCCCCCCCAGACCCCCCGGTAACACTCTTACGATAGTTTTTGGGGGTAACATTGTCAGATTCTCTTTGTCTTACAAATACTGCAAAAAATGTATGACCGGGGGGCCTGGGGGGTATGGAATACCCTCCAAAAACAAGAAGATTTAAAGAGTGGTGAGGGTTTAACGCCACTCATTAAAGAAAAAACTCCATAGCCCCATTTCTATCATCCTCAGTAACCTCTTGGTGGCTTTTTGGATGTGACACTTAAACTGTCGTCTGCTGGGCAGTATTCCATACCCCCCACACCCCCTGGTAACACTCTCGCGATAGTTTTTGTGGGTAACATTGTCAGATTCTCTTTGCCTTACAAGTACTGCAAAAAATGTAAGACCAGGGGGCCTGGGGGGTATGGAATACCCCCATAAGCAAGAAGATTTAAAGAGTGGTGAGGGTTTAACGCCACTCATTAAAGAAAATCTCCATAGCTCCTTTTCTATCACCCTCAGTAACCTCTTGGTGGCTTTTTGGAGGTGACACTAAAACTGTCGTCGGCTGGGGGGTATTCCATACCCCCCAGACCCCCCGGTAACACCATCACGATAGTTTTTGGGGGTAACATTGTCAGATTCTCTTTACCTTACAAGTACTGCGAAAAATCTAAGACCGGGGGGCCTGGAGGGTATGGAATACCCCCCAGAAACAAGAAGATTTAAAGAGTGGAAAGGGATTAATGCCACCCATTAAAGAAAAACTTCATAGCCCCTTTTCTATCATCCTCAGTAACCTCTTGATGGTTTTTTGGAGGTGACACTTAAACTGTCGTCTGCTGGGCAGTATTCCATACCCCCCACACCCCCTGGTAACACTCTCGCGATAGTTTTTGTGGGAACAAAAATCTAAGACCGGGGGGCCTGGAGGGTATGGAATACCCCCCAGAAACAAGAAGATTTAAAGAGTGGAAAGGGATTAATGCCACCCATTAAAGAAAAACTCCATAGCCCCATTTCTATCATCCTCAGTAACCTCTTGGTGGCTTTTTGGAGGTGACACTTAAACTGTCGTCTGCTGGGCAGTATTCCATACCCCCCACACCCCCTGGTAACACTCTCGCGATAGTTTTTGTGGGTAACATTGTCAGATTCTCTTTGCCTTACAAGTACTGAACAAAATGTAACACCGGGAGGCCTGGGGGGTATGGAATACCCCCCAGAAACAAGAAGATTTAAAGAGTGGTGAGGGTTTAACGCCACTCATTAAAGAAAATCTCCATAGCTCCTTTTCTATCATCCTCAGTAACCTCTTGGTGGTTTTTTGGAGGTGACACTAAAACTGTCGTCGGCTGGGGGGTATTCCATACCCCCCAGACCCCCCGGTAACACCATCACGATAGTTTTTGGGGGTAACATTGTCAGATTCCCTGTACCTTACAAGTACTGCGAAAAATCTAAGACCGGGGGGCCTGGAGGGTATGGAATACCCCCCAGAAACAAGAAGATTTAAAGAGTGGAAAGGGATTAATGCCACCCATTAAAGAAAAACTCCATAGCCCCATTTCTATCATCCTCAGTAACCTCTTGGTGGCTTTTTGGAGGTGACACTTAAACTGTCGTCTGCTGGGCAGTATTCCATACCCCCCACACCCCCTGGTAACACTCTCGCGATAGTTTTTGTGGGTAACATTGTCAGATTCTCTTTGCCTTACAAGTACTGAACAAAATGTAACACCGGGGGGCCCGGGGGGTATGGAATACCCCCCAGAAACAAGAAGATTTAAAGAGTGGTGAGGGTTTAACGCCACTCATTAAAGAAAATCTCCATAGCTCCTTTTCTATCATCCTCAGTAACCTCTTGGTGGTTTTTTGGAGGTGACACTAAAACTGTCGTCGGCTGGGGGGTATTCCATACCCCCCAGACCCCCCGGTAACACCATCACGATAGTTTTTGGGGGTAACATTGTCAGATTCTCTTTACCTTACAAGTACTGCAAAAATGTAACACCGGGGGGCCTGGGGGGTATGGAATACCCCCCAGAAACAAGAAGATTTAAAGAGTGGTGAGGGTTTAACGCCACTCATTAAAGAAAATCTCCATAGCTCCTTTTCTATCATCCTCAGTAACCTCTTGGTGGTTTTTTGGAGGTGACACTAAAACTGTCGTCGGCTGGGGGGTATTCCATACCCCCCAGACCCCCCGGTAACACCATCACGATAGTTTTTGGGGGTAACATTGTCAGATTCCCTGTACCTTACAAGTACTGCGAAAAATCTAAGACCGGGGGGCCTGGAGGGTATGGAATACCCCCCAGAAACAAGAAGATTTAAAGAGTGGAAAGGGATTAATGCCACCCATTAAAGAAAAACTCCATAGCCCCATTTCTATCATCCTCAGTAACCTCTTGGTGGCTTTTTGGAGGTGACACTTAAACTGTCGTCTGCTGGGCAGTATTCCATACCCCCCACACCCCCTGGTAACACTCTCGCGATAGTTTTTGTGGGTAACATTGTCAGATTCTCTTTGCCTTACAAGTACTGAACAAAATGTAACACCGGGGGGCCCGGGGGGTATGGAATACCCCCCAGAAACAAGAAGATTTAAAGAGTGGTGAGGGTTTAACGCCACTCATTAAAGAAAATCTCCATAGCTCCTTTTCTATCATCCTCGGTAACCTCTTGGTGGCTTTTTGGAGGTGACACTTAGACTGTCGTCTGCTGGGGGGTATTCCATACCCCCCAGACCCCCCGGTAACACCATCACGATAGTTTTTGGGGGTAACATTGTCAGATTCTCTTTACCTTACAAGTACTGAACAAAATGTAACACCGGTGGGCCTGGGGGGTATGGAATACCCCCCAGAAACAAGAAGATTTAAAGAGTGGTGAGGGTTTAACGCCACTCATTAAAGAAAATCTCCATAGCTCCTTTTCTATCATCCTCAGTAACCTCTTGGTGGCTTTTTGGAGGTGACACTAAAACTGTCGTCGGCTGGGGGGTATTCCATACCCCCCAGACCCCCCGGTAACACTCTTACGATAGTTTTTGGGGGTAACATTGTCAGATTCTCTTTGTCTTACAAATACTGCAAAAAATGTATGACCGGGAGGCCTGGGGGGTATGGAATACCCTCCAAAAACAAGAAGATTTAAAGAGTGGTGAGGGTTTAACGCCACTCATTAAAGAAGAAACTCCATAGCCCCTTTTCTATCATCCTCAGTAACCTTTTGGTAGTTTCTTAGAGGTGGCAGTAAAACTGTCTTCTGCTGGGGGGTATTCCATACCCCCCAGACCCCCCGGTAGCCCTCTCGCGATAGTTTTTGAGCGTAAACGTTGTCAGATTCTCTTTGCCTTACAAGTACTTCAAAAAATGTAAGGTCGGGGGGCCTAGGGGGTATGGAATACCCCCTAGAAACAAGAAGATTTGAAGAGTGGCGAGGGTTTAACGCCACCCATTAAAGAAAAACTCCATAGCCTTTTTTCTATCAGCTTCAGTAACCTCATGGTGGTTTTTTGGAGATGGCAGTTAATCTGTCGTCTTCTGGGGGGCGAGGGGGAAATTCTATTGTCGAAAGTGACACTTTAATCTAAGGGAGGATAACAATAATAATAAAATGGCTAATTTTGCGTGTTTTTCAGACAAAGAAAACTGATCAAGATAGGCTACCACTGCACCGTCGCAAGAACCAAAATGGCCGTACAGCTCTCCGAACCACTTCTGGCCGAATACGGACTGAGCACCGAGTGGTGTCGCGACGCGCTGCGGAACGAGATCGGCGACCGTCTGCCGAAAGGTGAGGCATTCGGCAATATTGCCCAGCACGTCATTGAGTTCGCTTTTCAGATCCGCGCCAATGGACCCGAGAGGACGTCATCCAGTGGCTGAAGCTGGTAACGACCCAGCACGGCCTACCCGAAGTGCCAGTCGCTCGATTTTTGATGAACGGAAAGGCGTTATGTCTAATGTCGCCGCACATGTTCCTGACGAGAGTGCCGTTGGGCGGGAAGCTTCTGTATAAGGATTTCCAGCTGAGATTGTGCGCCGCCCTCTACTCGATCAGCTAGTGAACTAATCGCACGCACCAGTTTTATTTTGCAGCTAATTTCAAAGACCAATACCTTTATGTAACTAGTCATTGTATATACAGAGTGTAAATAAAAGTTAACCATTTGTAAGTTTGATATGAGCTTTGCGTCATTTTACTGTTTTTCACGGCGAGGTCTTTCATTGGTCGATCGCGCTCTAACTCTTTTTTTAAAGTCGCATGCAAATATTGTTCGGCAACGTTGTTTTTAAATACGTAAAGAGTATACTTACCTACCAAATATCATAAAATCTGACCATTTTTGTTCCTCGTTTAAAAATTGCAGTTAGGCAACACACCATACATCAAAGTATGGGAACTTGGATACGACAATGCACTGTATAACATCCGTTTTTTTTAAAGGACTGTGTGCACAGGGGGTGTATATATCATTTTCCCCCCATAGCCTCCATTTATTGTAAACGTCCATCTTTTTATCATTTGCTGTGTTACTAATATAATAATATAGGGCGCATGAAAATTATTCTGCTGCATTCTATTCCTTCTCGTTCCCTTGTGTTGCCAATATTTACCTAGGGGTTGTTGATATTTTGAAATAAAGTAACCGCATTTTTCTAATATTTGTATTTTCAACCTATTACCGTGCTTTTAAGGGCAAAAAGGCTTAACCGTTGGTAATTTAAATCTTGTGAGTCTAAATGGAATTATTTATGTTAATAAAACGTTGCTGTTGTACTAATATAATAATATAGAGCGCTTGAAAATTATTCTGCTGCATTTTATACCTTCTCGTGCCCTTGTGTTGCCAATATTTACCTAGGGGTAGTTGATATTTTGAAATAAAGTAACCGCATTTTTCTAATATTTGTATTTTCAACCTATTACCGTGCTTTTAAGGGCAAAAAGGCTTAAACGTTGATAATTTAAATCTTGTGAGTCTAAATGGAATTATTTATGTTGATAAAACGTTGCTGTGGTACTAACATAATAATATAGAGCGCATGAAAATTATTCTTCTGCATTCTATACCTTCTCGTGCCCTTGGTTGCCAATATTTACCTAGGGGTAGTTGATATTTTGAAATAAAGTAACCGCATTTTTCTAATATTTGTCTTTTCAACCTATTACCGTGCTTTTAAGGGCAAAAAGGCTTAAACGTTGGTAATTTAAATCTTGTGAGTCTAAATGGAATTATTTATGTTAATAAAACGTTGCTGTGGTACTAATATAATAATATAAAGCGCATGAAAATTATTCTTCTGCATTCTATACCTTCTCGTGCCTTTGGGTGCCAATATTTACCTAGGGGTAGTTGATATTTTGAAATAAAGTAACCGCATTTTTATGATATATGTATTTTCAACCTATTACCGTGCCTTTAAGGGTAAAAAGTGTTCAACGTTGGTAATTTAAACCTTGTGAGTCTAAATGGAATTATTTATGTTAATAAAACGTTGCTGTGGTACTAATATAATAATATAAAGCGCATGAAAATTATTCTTCTGCATTCTATACCTTCTCGTGCCTTTGGGTGCCAATATTTACCTAGGGGTAGTTGATATTTTGAAATAAAGTAACCGCATTTTTATGATATATGTATTTTCAACCTATTACCGTGCCTTTAAGGGTAAAAAGTGTTCAACGTTGGTAATTTAAACCTTGTGAGTCTAAATGGAATTATTTATGTTAATAAAACGTTGCTGTGGTACTAATATAATAATATAAAGCGCTTGAAAATTATTTTGCTGCATTCTATACCTTCTCGTGCCCTTGTGTTGCCAATATTTACCTAGGGGTAGTTGATATTTCGAAATAAACTAACCGCATTTTTCTAATATTTGTATTTTCAACCTATTACCGTGCCTTTAAGGGCAAAAAGACTTAAAAGTTGGTAATTTAAATCTTGTGAGTCTAAATGGAATTATTTATGTTAATAAAACGTTGCTGTGGTACTAATATAATAATATAAAGCGCTTGAAAATTATTTTGCTGCATTCTATACCCTCTCGTGCCCTTGTGTTGCGAATAAAGTAACCGCATTTTTCTGATATTTGTATTTTCAACCTATTACCGTGCCTTTAAGGGTAAAAAGAGTTAAACGTTGGTAATTTAAATCTTGTGAGTCTAAATGGAATGATTTATGTTAATGAAACCTTGCTGTGGTACTAATATAATAATATAGAGCGCATGAAAATTATTTTGCTGCATTCTATACCATCTCGTGCCCTTGGTTGCCAATATTTACCTAGGGGTAGTTGATATTTTGAAATAAAGTAACCACATTTTTATGATATTTGTATTTTCAACCCATTACCGTGCCTTTAAGGGTAAAAAGTGTTTAACGTTGGTAATTTAAATCTTGTGAGTCTAAATGGAATTATTTATGTTAATAAAACGTTGCTGTTGTACTAATATAATAATATAGAGCGCTTGAAAATTATTCTGCTGCATTCTATACCTTCTCGTGCCCTTGGTTGCCAATATTTACCTAGGGGTAGTTGATATTTTGAAATAAAGTAACCGCATTTTTATGATATTTGTATTTTCAACCCATTACCGTGCCTTTAAGGGTAAAAAGTGTTTAACGTTGGTAATTTAAATCTTGTGAGTCTAAATGGAATTATTTATGTTAATAAAACGTTGCTGTTGTACTAATATAATAATATAGGGCGCATGAAAATTATTCTGCTGCATTTTATACCTTCTCGTGCCCTTGTGTTGCCAATATTTACCTAGGGGTAGTTGATATTTTGAAATAAAGTAACCGCATATTTCTGATAATTGTATTTTCAACCTATTACCGTGCCTTTAAGGGAAAAAAAGCTAAACATTAGTAATTTAAATCTTGTGAGTCTGAATGGAATTATTTTTGTTAATAAAACGTTGCTGTGGTACTAATATAATAATATAGAGCGCATGAAAATTATTCTGCTGCTTTCTATACTTTCTCGTGCCCTTGTGTTGTTAATATTTATGGTTATAAAACGTAGCTGTGGTGTTGAAATAATACTCTTTTGGAGAAGTATCATAAGAACTTCTAACTGTGAAAGGGGCATGGATATTAATTCTCTGAATTTTATATCGCTTTGTAGCCTTGTGATTATTGTATTGCTTTTAAACGTTTCTGTAATGCTGATAAAACAATTTTCAGGCCAATATTCGTACTAGAAGATAACAACATTGTAGTGCTATTTGAGTTGCGTTATCGCATTCGAGTAGTTGAGCTCAAAGTGTAAACCGTGTGACGATGGATTTAGTGCTAATAATTTTCGTTGCGACAATTACCAGAGGGCATTCGGCGAGAATCTTGGGATTCATTTCGGTTCCCTCCCACAGCCACCAGGTGGTGTTTCAGCCCCTGTGGCGGGAGCTCTCCCTACGCGGCCACCAGGTGACAACGTTGACGACCGATCCAATAAACGATCCAGAATTAGTGAACTTAACCGAGATCGATTTGAGCTTCTCGTACCATGCTTGGAGGGAGATGCTGGGGGTGTTTAAGTGCACGAACTCGGAATTGTTAAAGCTGCATTACTTAATAATGTCGTCGATAGAAATTACGAAAGCGCAACTGGAGCATCCCCAAGTGCGAGATCTAATACGTAACGATAGTAATAGGTTTGACTTGCTTATAGTGGAGTATATTGTACCTAGCGCGATCGCTTTGAGTAGGCGATTTGATTGCCCCTACATTGGGGTAGTCTCGATGCCGCTATCAGAACCGTATTTCCCATTAATTGGCAGTCCGACGCATCCGGTGTTGTATCCCAGCGATCTGTTGTGGATAAAAGACTGCGTGACGTTCTTCGACCGTCTCAAAAGCGCCGTGTTTTCCGTTCTTTACCAAATGTACGTGTCCTATTTCTTTGAACTTCAGGAAAATCTCGTGAAGCTACTCGGGGAAAATTACCCACCAATACGTGACGTCATGAGTAACGCCAGCCTGCTGTTTATTAATTCCGACCCAATCTTCCAGAAGGTGAGACCGCTTGGACCGAACCTAATCCAAATCGGAGGAGGATTGCATCGCTTAAACCAGCAGCCACTTCCAAAGGTAGTTAAGCGCGACGATTGCTGTCGCTATCTCACAAATTTCAGAGGCTGCAAGAGCTGCTCGACGCCGCCTCCGAGGGCGCCATCTACTTTAGCTTGGGATCAAACGTGAAAAGCGACGATCTCTCGGAGACCACCCGAAATGCGATCCTCGCGGCGTTCGCCGAACTTCCCTACACGATCCTGTGGAAATTTGACTCGGACCACCTGCCGAATAAACCCGACAATGTTCACGTTCAAAAATGGTTTCCGCAGCTGTCGGTTTTGAGTAGGTAACTCGTCGAAGGAGACAGTTACTGAAATGTTGAGGTTTTAGGCCATGCCAACGTGAAACTCTTCATAACCCAAGGAGGTGTACAGTCTAGTGAGGAGGCGATCCACTCCCACGTCCCGATGGTCGGCATGCCGTTCTTCGGCGATCAGTTTTACAACGTGAAGAATATGGTGGAGATGGGATTCGGGCTGTCGGTCCATCACTCGAAATTGCAAACGGAAGAATTTAAAGCCGTTATCGTTGAGGTCGCGGAGAACCCTAGGTAGGTGGCCGTGATCGATTAACAACTAACTCGTTTGGTATAGCTACAGAGAGAAGGTTAAAGAGCTGGCAGAGCTGGCGAGAGATCAACCCATGACGGGCTTGGAACGGGCGGTCTGGTGGACGGAATACGTCATACGCCATAGGGGTGCCAAACATCTCAAAAGTCCACTGCTGGACATCCCTTTCTATCAGTATTATCTCCTGGATGTCATTGCAACTCTTGTGATACTTCTGTTGCTGTCTTTGTCTCTAGCATACGGCTCGATTATACTCCTATGCAAACTTTGGCATGTAGCGTTTAACTTCAAAATCAAAAAAGAATGATATGCACAATTAAAACCATCCCAACACCTTTTGTATTATTGTGATCCTGTTACAACTTTTAGCGAGTGTTCACCATTAATTTTTTATTGGCCCAGACGTAGTAATTTTTGTTGTATTAATAAAAATGGTGGTTTTCTCGTAACTTTTAAAATCCAAGGATACACCAGAAAAGAACGTTTCGAAAAATTTCACATCATTTGAAAATTATGTCACCGTCTGTAAGATTCCAAAGTGCACGATCCATCACCTATCTTTCCGAATTCATTGCCATTGAAGGAGGGCTGTATCCAACCCAAATCTGTAGCAACAATGCCATCTGCAAAAACTGACATGTTTGTTTAATACACTATTACTCTGCCTTTTTATTACTTTATTAAGTAATTATTTATGTATTCAAGTGGAAGTATATGTTATCAGTGAGATCAGTGAGTGAGTAACACCTGACATAATTCTTGAGCACTAATAAAAAAAACATGAAGTCTATCTGGGTCGCACTTTGGGTTCGATTAAACAAACAGTTGGTAATTGACAAAGACAAAAATTTATCCCGCAAAACATAAAAAAAATAAAACAACAATGCTAGAAGAAAGAAAGAACTTTAGAGACCACGCACGCAGGCGTTCGACAAATAATTAAAGAAATCTTAATTGCTTACAGTTTCTTTCTAGGGTCCAATCGACAAAATACGAGACGTTTTGGAATCTGTGAAACTAAATTAATAGAAAAAAGTGTTTTCCCCAACATTTTTGGGGTAGTCAATTTTCGGTGAAAAGCACTTGCCTATTTTTTGGGTAGGTAGGAAAACAAATTGTCTGGGATCGACTTGAAAACACATTTTCTTATAGAATTTGGCCCGTAGAATCCATAATTTCAAACAGTTTGAAGATTGGGCTACAGAATCAAAAGTTACAGGCCCTTGAATTTTTTTTCGAAATTGATTTTTTGTCCATAAATTTTGATTGAGAGGTCTAATCGAAAAAGTACGATTCGTTTTGGATTCTACGCACCAAAATTAATAAGAAAAAGTGTTTTCCCGAGAAATTTTGGTGTAGTCGATTTTTGGTAAAAAAGGAAGGTATACACTGCCTTTTTGAGGCCCGAAAAAAAATTGTCTCAGATCGACCCGGAAAAAAAATTTTCTGATAGAATGTGGCCTGTAGAATCCATAATTTCAAACAGTTCCAACATTGGGCTACTAGTTCAAAAGTTACAGCCCTTTGAATTTTTTTCCGAAATTGGTTTCTAGTCTATAACTTTTGATTGAGAAGTCTGATCGAAAAAGTACGAATTGTTTTGGATTCTACGCACCAAAATTAATAAGAAAGAGGGTTTTCCCGAAAAACGTTGGTGGTTTATTTAAATTTATAAAATTATTAAAAACAATTTTTACAAACTCTTAATTATTTATTCAAATTTAATAACAATTTATAAACAAACAGGGTGCACTGGGTAGTGTGGTGTGATTTAAAACATTCGCATTCGTGTTTTAAAACGGATTTATAGTTGGTTTACAAATCACACTGGACACATTTTAAATTCACAGTAATGTGCCCTCAGTTGGTTCATTATAAGTTGCACAATCACAGTGGGCACATTTTAAATCTTCGGTAGAATAGTCTTGTGCGTTATCAGATGTAATTTAAAATCCCATTCTACATTAGTTCTGTAATCGCACGTAGTGCAATTATATTTTGTAAAGTTCGGTTGATAGTTACTCGCGATTGCAATTTTTGGTATAATAGTCTTGTGTGTCAGCAGATGTTTTCTAAAATTCCACGCTATCTTAGTTGTATAATGACACGTAGCACAATCGAAAGTAGTACTGTGCGTTGGCCTCGGTGTTGACTGATGTTTTATAACGCTGGTTACGAAATCGCACTGGGTGCCCTTTGACATTTTCATGCCGGTATGTGTTAACATATGTTTTCTTAAAATTGACTTTTGACCACTTGTGTAATTACACTGGTCACATTTAAAAATCTTGTGAGTCCTCAATTCGAGTTGGTGATCGATTGCATCGTCTACTGACACTTGTGGTCGCTGAGCACGTGAGGAATCTTGGGAAGCATCTTGATCTTCCCAATACCGTGTGACTTTAGCACTACTTTCATCAGATTCCTGTTTTATTATTCCGAAGATATCATTGTTAAATAAAACCCTCTCGTCGGGCAATGTATCTAGTTCATCTTCTTGTTCGACTTCAGCTTTCACAGTCGCTGACATTTTCGCACAAGCTTAGAACTGCAACAAAAGTTTCTCGAGTAAAAACCAAAACATTGTTAACCTTACCAGAAAATGGTGATCTCTGGCTGTAGCTCACGTATCGGGAACTGACAATTTCCAGAATCATTAGTGTCTCACTTCCAGTGGCGTATCGACAAGTTTCTTCATAAATACTCGCACCGATTTTCGTTAGATCAAATCGAGACTGCTGTTATAAGATTTTATCTTTGGTAATATTGTGACATACCCCTACAGTTAGGCAACACACCTTACTTTATCAAAAAAGATTAGCAAGGGTTTTTAAATCACCTAGCTACTTTTTCAGCCACTCAAAGTACTCACAAAAATCATGAGGGGATTGGGTGAACATGAGCTGCATGAGGCATTAGCTCTCACATTAATAATAAAAAATGGGATTGATAAAAAAATCACACTGGACACATTTTAAACCATTAATAGCTTTGTGTATTAAAACAATATTGAATTTTTCATGAGAAGGAAAAGATTGATTTAATTATCACTCCCAGTGTTGTGAATTAACAGATGCTTTCTCAAACTACGTTTGGTTTTAACTGTGTAATCGCACCAAGCACACTTTAAATGCATGGTGGTCTGGTGTCTAACCAAATGTGTCTTAAGACTGGAAAGATGTTTGGTTGTGAAATTACACTGATCACATTTTAAATCCTTGACAGTCTTGTGTTTTAACAGATGCGATTTAAAACAGAAATTACTATTGCTTGCGTAATCACACAGGCCGCACTTCAGATCCTTGCTAGTCTGGTGCGTTAACACGTGTACCCTCAAGTTCGATTTATAGTTCGTTGAATAATCGCACTGGGCACATTTTAAATGCTTCTTAGTACTGTGTGTTAACAGATGTGTTTGCAATTTAAATTTGTTATTCGTTTCATAATCACAGCGGGCACACTTTAAATCTTTGATAGTCTCGTGAGTTAGCAGATGTCTTTTAAAACTCCAACTTCTGTTACTTGCAAAGCTGCACAAGGTACAATTGAAATCCTTGGTTGTACTGTGTGCCGACTGATGTTTTCGGAAACTGGGTTTATGACTTGTAACAAAATCACACTGGGCACATTTTAAAACGTTGTGGGTTATCAAATGTCTTTTAAAACTGATATTATAGTTCGTTGCAAAATTGCACTGGGCACATTTTAAATCTTTGCCGGCTTTGTGTCTTAGCATGTGTGTTCGCAAATTTGATTTGTTATTGCTTGCGTAATCACAATGGGCACATTTTAAAATTCCGGCGATCTTGTGAGTGCCACAGGGAATAAATTTAAAATCTCCTGAAATTTGTGAAAAACCTTCAGAAGGTGTGTGCCAGTTGTATTTATCATCTGCATGATTCTCCCTTTTGCATCTGACATTAGAACAATGACTGATCGGAATCTCACTATGTTCCAGTTTTATTCTACCAAAGACATAATTTTTACGTAACACCTTCTCATCGAACACTGTATTTATTTCTTCTTCTCGTTTGATTTCAACTTTCACATTCGCTGACATCACAAGAAACTACGGTAGTTTCTCGAATAGTAATAAAAAAATTATGATCTTACGTTACTACAAGACAAAAAGGTCTTGATATGTGGATGGGTGAAATAGGCCACAAAACCTCAGGCTGTAGCTCAAGTGTCGGAAACGGTCACATTAGCGGCTCACTTCCAGTGGCGTATCGATAGTTTTTTTTGCCAATGCCATTGACAGATACCAGCACGTGACGTCAGTACAAAAAACCAGTTTTTATTGCTTGTAGAGATAGCTGTATAGCCGTCTATTCCATGCATTGAGATTATTTTCTTTAAAAGTGCACATAACCCATATACGGGTATGGAAAAAATTATTGCGGGTATTGATGACACATTTATTGGCTACTATCAATGTCAACGTTTATGTCTCCCTCGCACTCAATGTTCATCGGGTTTCTTTCTACCTTATTATAAGTTAAACCTGCAATAATCTTTTGCCATACCTGTATGTGTACACATTTGAAATATATACAGTAACAATCCATTAACTCGTATGATAAGGACTTCATTTTCTACTCCTTTGTGAGTCGATCTTTTCTGTCCGGATTTGATGATGTCCGTCATTGTAAAAGTTGAAATAAAAGCAGAAGGCGAAATTAGTGCACCCATTGATGAGAAGGTTGTACTTAACAGCGATATCCCTATAAAGCAAGAAGTTAATGAGACTACGACCAGTGCGGATTATTCTAATGTCACCTGTAAGTGGGAAGGTAAAAATGAAGACTGGACAGATTTCCCACATGCTAAGCATTCAAGAGAAGGTTTAAAATGTGCCCAATGCGATTATGAAACCTTTAATAAGTCCAATTTGAGAACGCATTTGTTAAAGCACGAAGCTATCAAAGTGTTACAATGTGATCAGTGTGGTTATCAAACAAATTGGAAGTCCAATTTGAGAACACATCTGGTAACACACAAGAACACCAAAGATTTAAAATGTGACCAGTGCGATTTTGCAACAAATTACAAATCCATCCTTAGAAAGCATCTGTTTAAACACAACACTACTACAAAAGAACACAATGTTATGAAAGATTTAAAATGTGACCGGTGTGAATATAAAACTAGTGATAAATACAATTTGAGAACACATCAGCTAACACACAAGACCGTCAAAGATTTTCAGTGTACCCAATGTAAATTTGCAACTCATTATAAGTACAATTATAATAAGCATGTCTTATTACACAAGACTATCAAGAAATTAAAATGTGACCAGTGCGATTTTGCAACCAATTACAAATCGAGCTTAAATGAACATCTATTATTACACACGACTATGCAAAATTTAAAATGTGCCCAATGTAACTACAAAACCAATGTCAAATACAAGTTGAGAAAACATCAGCTAACGCACAAGACCGTCAAAGATTTTCAGTGTACCCAATGTGATTTTGCCACACATTATAAAAACCATTACAATAAACATCTCTTAATTCATGAGACCTTCAAGAATTTAAAATGTGACCGGTGTGATTACAAAACTAACGACAAATCCAACTTGACAACTCATCAGCTGACGCACAAGGCCGTTAAAAATTTCATGTGTGCCCAATGTGATTTTGCAACTCATTATAAAAACAATTATGTTCGACATCTGTTGATTCACAGGAACATCAAAACTTTAAAATGTGACAAGTGTGATTACGCAACCAATTACAAATCGAGTTTGAATGAACACCTACTATCGCACACTACTATCAAAAGTTTAAAATGTGCCCAATGTAACTACAGAACCAATGTCAAATGCAATTTGCGAACGCATCAACTAACCCACAAGACTGTTAAGGACTTTAGGTGTACCCTGTGCGGTTTTGCAAGTCAATACAAAAGCAATTATAATAAGCATCTCTTCACTCACAAGACCACCAAAGATTTAAAGTGTGCCCAGTGCGATTTTGCAACGCATTACAAAACTTGTTTAATTGCACATTTTAAAAAACACAAATGATTATTAAATCGTACATATTCAAATGTGGTTTCGCAGTTAACGTCAGTTCATTCTTTGCTGGGTAGTGATTAAAATGGTAGGATCCATATACGTTAAAAATTCCTGGACATTCAAAACCTATGATAATGTGTAGCTTTTTTCTTGTAGTGTTAGATGGATCACTTAATTTTGTGAGAGTCATTCTGAATGCATGGGTTTATTGACGGTGTCAGAGTTAACATGTTTACGGTAGGTCAGGTTTGTTTCCTTACGTAATTAATAAATAATCAGATTTTATTTCTGTTTTTTTTTAACAAAAATTGTCTACGTGAACGACAACAATTTGTGGTTTTGGGCAAAGACGTTGTGCCAAGATTGGCGCTACATACAGATCTCATTAATGCAATCAAGAGAAGTGTTGATCCAAAAGTTAAGGTCCGTTATACCTTCAGAAGGACGCATATCCGGTACCCTACATGTCCGATATGTTAGATCAATATCCATTACATCAACGACTTCTAGTGACCAACGTCGTCGTTACTTGTCTTTTGAACGGTGTCTCAATATACGACAACGGTACTTGTCATTTAATTTGAAATCGGACATCTCAAAGTAATCGATTATTTCGATCAGTCAATAAGAATGGATCATTTTTATATATTAATGATCTTGGACCTTTGCCATACTCCATTGGTTAATTAACTTGTAATAAAATCAAAGCGCGATTAATAGATCTATTATCTAAAAATAAAGTACAATACAAAAAATGTCTACTCCAATAAAATTACATCCAATACAGTATGAACAAGTTACTCAATGATGTAGACTCAAAAAATGATTTTATTGATTATTTCAATAAGAAAAATTAACCCGTCATTTTTTCTAATGTACAAGACATGTTACTCTCAATACAACACGTTCAATATGATTCTCACAAAATGATTGGTCCATCCAATTTTGTCTAGTTGGATCCATCTAGCAAAACTGATTACTTTACCTGATATAAGTATAAAATTTATTTATGTTTCTTAAAATGTGTCTTTAAACAACTTTTGTAATGGCTTGCAAAATCGCATTGGGAACACTTAAACTCTTTAACAGTCTTGTGTGTTAGCTGATGTGTTCTCATATTGCCTTTGGCGTTAGTTTTATAGTTACATTGGGCACATTTTAAATTTTTGGTTGTTGTGTGCGATAATTGATGTTTGAACAAACTCAATTTATAATTGGTTGCGAAATCACACCGGTCACATTTTAAATTCTTGATAGTCTTGTGCTCGGGGCATTCTTGCTGTGAGCTCTTGTGAAGTGAGAGATGATTATTATAAATGTGTTTGTAATGAGTTGCAAAATCACATTGGGTACACTTAAAATCTTTGTCGGTCTTGTGCGTTAGCTGATGTGTTCGTAATTTGTACTTATCATAAGTTTTGTATTGGCAGAGGTCACATTTTAAATATTTTGTGGTGGTCTTGTGTGTCAACAGATGTGCTTTAAATCTGAATTTATAGTTTGTTGCAAAATTACACTGGTCACACTTTAAATCTTTGGTGGTTTTGTGCGATATTAGATGCTTGTTCAAACTCGATTTCCAATTGGTTGCAAAATCACACTGGTTACATTTGAAACCTTTGATAGGCTGGTGTCTGCATGATTTAAATCTGGATTTACACTGGACACATTTTAAATCTATTGTAGTACTGTTGTGTTTAAAAAGATGTTTTCTAAGAATGGTCTTATAATTTGTTGCAAAATCACACTGGTCACATTTTAGGTCTTTGGTGTACTTGTGTATTACCAGATGCGCTCTCAAATTGGATTTCCACTTCGTTTGATAACCACACTGATCACATTGTAAACCTTTGATAACTTGGTGCTGTAACAAATGCGTTCTCAAACTGGATTTGTTATACGTTTCATAATCGCATTGAGCACATTTTAAACTTTCTTCCGGAGGGAAATCTGTTGAATCATTGCGTTTATTCCAATCATCTTCATTTTGATCTTCCCACTTACACGTGTAATTAGAATAACCTGCACTGATCGTAGTCTCGTTAACTTCCTGCTTTATGGTTCCAGAGATATCACTGTTAAATATAATCTTCTCATCAATGGATGCAGTTATCTGCTCTTCATATTTTATGTCAACTTGCACACTTGCCGACATCATTTAAATCCCACTTACCTACTGGTGTAAATCCAAGGATTATATATATGTTTATAATCCTTGGTGTAAATCAGCTACAACAAAGATCGATTCACACAGGAATGGAAACTAAAGCCCGCATCACACGAGGCAAGATTTACAGTCTGGGCAATGTTTTGGAAGAAACCGCGAGGTCTGGCATTCAAGAGTAGATTGTTCAGGAGAAAGTCATTAAGCACGTGCAAACATCGAATTGGCCAGGTGGAACAGGACAATAGACGTTGACTGCAACTGTTCAGGTGGAAAACCGATACATTCTTCAAAATTTCGGACCCCCATGTGGAAGCACATTATAAATGCTTATTATTCTCAAACGGCATAAGACGCGGCGCGAAATCATGTGAAAAATTAAATTGTGTACATTGTCAATTTTGTGGTCCCTTTTTTTGTCATTGAAGTGCACGCGATTTCATTTTCAATAACAGAATCGCAAAGTAGAAAAAATTAGTAATATCTGATCATTTATTAATTAACATAAGTCATTTTTATACAAAACTGATGTACCATCTCTTTCTAACACTACAACAAGGTTAAACCAGCTATGCTAACATGTTATAACCAGTAGGCGAATAAATCACACTGTCTACATCGCAATATCTCGGAATCTTAATATGTTAGCACTTAAAATTTCATTTGTTATTGCACGATTAAATAATTAGTCACTTGGTGGTCGTATGAACTAAAACATGCCTATTATAATTGTGTTTTGAGTTGCAAAATTACATTGGGAACACTTAAAATCCTTAACAGTCTTGTGCGTTAGCTGATGTGTTCTCAAATTGTATTTGGCATTGGTTTCGTAGTTGCATTGTGCACATTTTAAATTTTTGTTAAGTATAATCTTCTCTTCAAAGGGTGCATTTATTTCTTCTTCATGTTTTATTTCAATTTTCACACTTGCCGACATTTAAACCGAATACAATCAAAGATCGAATCACAGAGGAATGAAAATAAAGTCCTCATCACACAAGGCAAATATATCAGTCAGAGCATTCTGCATTGCTTTAAACCTACGCTGATCACGGAATTTAAAAATGGTAGTTCAACCGAATAAAAATAAAAATAGGCTGGGAAAAAAGAACTTACCAATAAAAAAAACCAGCCATCAAATTAATATCAAATTGTGTTGTAAAATTCATTGTTTGTCATGATGTGAATGCGTAACATAAAATTATAACATCACCAAAGTAGCAGGTAAACTTCAAGAGGTAAAATATAGGTTAAAAACAAGTTTTGGGAATGGGTCAGATAAGCAGGTACCAAGATTCTAAGAAAGGGTGAAATGCACAGGATGTGACTCATCTTTGGTGCAATAAAGTCCTTTTGTTAAAAGCAAGATGGAAAATTACATGAAATTGTAGGCAAATTTAACCAAAAACAAGATATGTGGAAATTACGACTCATTTATCGCACATAGATTCTAAACTGTAGAGCTTTGATTAGCGTAATCCCGCTCCTGCAAGATAGGTAACCCGCCCCTGGTTTCGGGGTTCGAGCCTACAGTTGAAAGTCGAGAACACAATCACGGAATTAAGTGGTTACAGTTTTTACCACCCCTGTGACTGCTGCATTAACGGAGAAAATTGTTAGTTACAAACACCAAGTCAGTACATACATCAAACGAATCGGTAATTTCCACATATTAAAATAAAATGATCAAAATTTACATGAATGTTACTTTAGGGACAAGACCAAGTAATCAACATCAATAAACATAAATTAAGCAAGCATTACACCAAAAAAGTAAACAATTACAAACAATAGCATAACGGTATCACATATGTGATAATGCATTGCGATTAAACCAAGTAAATTTCAAAAACAAAACATACAAGAACTATAAAATGCGGCATACAAAACACAAATATGATATAAAGAAATGCAAAAATTACTACCTGCATTAAATAACCCAAAATAACAACAAGGATTTATGGAGCGACGCGTTCACGACCGTCCGTGCTTTTTAGATGGCGCAGCTTTTCCCCACCTAGAAATTGCATGGTTGCCAACTCTCAAAAATGTATGTATCGTCGCAAGTTGTACATACAGGGTGGAACCTCTCAACCCCTTGCACAGATACCTTGTTTTGTTACTTGTAACACGTTTGACCTTGAGCATGAAAATGTCACCTTCGCCCTGATTTGACCTTCAATTCTGCCCTTTTTTACATCTATAATTATCCTCCATATTTCACTTTCAAGTGACATTGTAGTTTGACCTTTGAATCGGCCGTACTATACGATGGAGACCTTCAAGGGTGTCTAGGTGTCCTCCTCCTCCTCTTCCGTACACCAGAAACCGTGTATAGAAACTCGAATAACGCAAATGGTCCAGTTATTATTGCGGTTTTAGGGACGTGTTTTTCCGCCATAGGGATCTGGTGGCAGGCTAGGATTAAATTAATGGTCGAGTCCATGGCGACCAGTATCGCTCTGGAATGTGTGCGCGAGTAAGAGTGACTGGGAACGGGGTGCGCGAAGATCGATGAAGTCAGAATTGTATTCAGAGAAGACAGAGTGAGGCAGCATCTAGAGTGAGATAAAGGTAAATGAAAGAAGATGGAGAAATAGGCATCAGAGAGAGAAGTGAAGATACATATACCATAACAGGAAGAAAAGTCGGAAATAGAGTAAACGAAAAGGACGTGAGAGTAAGTGAAAGGACGGAGAAAAAAAGAAGAAGGTAAATGAGAAGGGGGTGAATGGTAGAACAGCGAAAGTGGTAAAGGTAAATATAGAGAGTTAGAGATAAGTGTGAAGATGCCAGAGAGCGCGAAAGAGATGTGGAAGTAAAAGGAGGAAGACGGGATGGAAAGAAAGTAACATAAAAAAATGCAGGAGAAAGGATGAGAATGATAGGAAAAGAAAAGAAAAAAAAGATAATAAAAAGGGAAGAGACAGAAGTAAAGAAACAAGGAGAGACGAGAAAGATTGAGAAGAAAGAGAAGCGAAATTGGAGATGACTAAAAAAGGAAAATACGTAAAGAAGAACGAAGAAAGTAGTAAATGGAGAATTGTATGAAAAAGGTGAAGAAGGGGAGAAGTAGTGTGAAGAGGAAGAATGTTTAGATGGGAGATGAGAGAGGGTAGAAGGAAAAGGAGCGGAGTGCGCGTGAAGTCGATATGGGAAGCAAGAAGAAGAACCGCAAACGGAACAGAAGAGGAGCAAGGGAAAGCAGGAACACACCAAAAAAGCGGATAAAGAGAACGAAGACGGCTAGAAAAATGGGAGTACAAGGAGAACGACGTACTATAAACAGATAAGAGGGAGTGTAATGGGTATTAGTGAACAGGAAGAGATAAAATAATGAGAAAGGAAAGGGGGTTGAAACACATGAAAAAAATAAGAAAAGGTTGTGTAAAGGGGGTGGAGAGGGTGAAGCTCGTAAGGAAAGAAAGGGAGCAGGAAAGGGGAAGAGAAGGGGAATGTGGAGAAAGAGTGTTACGAAAAGGAAAAAAAGGAGGAAACTGAACGTAAAATGAAGGAAAGAGAGAGACAGCGAAGAATCGGAACTATATGAGGTACTCCTTCCCCGGAGTTAACAGTTAGTCGACACATACGGAGCAATATTTCCCTGGTAATGTAGTTCTATATTAATACGTAAATAAATACCGATACGAATGCACACTGCTGAAGCCAGCGGAAATGAAATGTAAAAAAAGCTTTGATCTGATGCACCCCACACCTGACGACGCTCGCAAAAATTAAAGAGCGGGGACCAGCATCAGTGGGACTCAAGTTCTACGGCCTAAGCTACGACCACCAGCTTAAGCAGGTCGCGGAGGGAAATAGAGAGCCATATAATACGCAATACCATACCCAGGAGGTCGTTTGCTATATTTATTTGTTACACATTTATTGATCATGTAAGTTACATTCATAAGTACAACTCTTCCTAAAACATTAATCTATATTCTGGCAACACAAAAACACTGGTCCATCTAAGACTACAAGAACATTGTTCATCAGCCTACGTATCACCACACGTTAATCAGTAAGTGAATGTACAATAATCCCATCATGCACATTTAAATTATCTATGTTTTCTCAAATGTTTTGCCAAACTGCTTCTGTGACGGGTTGCGAAATCACAATGGGCACATTTTAAATCTTTAGTGCTCTTGTGAATTACGAGATGTCGCCTCAAATGGGTCGTGTTATCGGTTGTGTAAGGACAGTGACCGCACTTTAGATCTTTGCTCGCGCTGTGTATTCGCCGGTGCGTTCTCAAACTGACTTGATCAGTGGTTTCGTAATCGCACTTGCTACATTTTAAATTCTGGACGCTCTTGTGAATGGAAACGTGTTTCTCATAAATGTGTTTATAATGTGTTGCAAAATCGCAATGGGTGCACTGAAAATCTTTGACTGTCTTATGTGTAAGCTGATGAGTTTTCAAGGTGGATTTCGCGTTGGTTTCGAAGTTACATTGTGCACATTTTAATTTTTTGATAGCCGTGTGCGATAACATATGTTGATTCAAGCATAATTTGTAATTGGTTGTATAATCGCACTGGTCGCATTTTAAATTCTTGATGGTCTCGTGACATAGGAGATGCTTATTATAACTGTTTTTGTAACGAGTTGCAAATTTACATTGCGTACACTTAAAATCTTTGACGGTCTTGTGTTTTACGTGATGTTTTGCCAAAGCGAATTTATCATCAGTTTTATAATCACACCGGTCACATTTTAAATTTTTTGTAGATGTCTTTTTCTTTTCATTCGTGGTCTTGTGAATTAGTAGATGTTTATTGTAACTAGTTTTATATTGACTTGCAAAATCACAGTGGATACAGTTAAAAACTTTGGCAACGTTGTGTACTAGCTGATGTTTTATCAAATAGGATTTGACATGGGTTGAGTAATCACACTGTGCACATTTTAAATTCTTACCAGTTTTGTGTGTTAACAAATGGTTTTTCAAACTGGTTTTATACTTGGTTGCGTAATCACACTCTGCACATTTCAATTCCATGGTAGTCTGATGTTTTAACAGATGGATCCTTAAACTCGTTTTGTATTTGGTTGTGTAATCACAATGTGCACATTTCAAATGCCTAGTACTAACGTGAGTTAAGAGATGTACCTTGTAACTGGTATTATAACGACTCGCAAAATCACACTGGGTACACTTAAAATCTTTCACCGTCTTATGTTTTAGCAAATGTGTGGTCAAAATGGATTTATACTTACTTGTAAAATCACAATGAGCACATTTGAACTCTTTGCTAGTGATGTTATGCTTGGTTGCACTATTTAAATACTTATTGTGTGTTAACACATGTGTCTTTAAATTGTATTTGTTATTCGTTACATAACCACACTGTTTACAATTCAAATGCTTGACAGTTTTATTGTGTCGCAACAAATGTAGTTTTAAAGATTTTTTGTTATGCGTTGTAAAATCGCAATGGGCACACCTTATGTCTTTGACAGTCTTGTGAGTTAGAAGGTGTTGTTTCAAATGGACTGTATTATTGGTGATGTAAATACAATGAGCACATTTGAAGGTGTTGTGCTTTCTCAAATGTGTCCTCAAGGTGGATTTATGCTTACTCGCAAAATCACAATGAGCACAATTAAATTCGGAATGATCGATTGCAACTTCATTTTCGCCTGTCGAATTAAGCGTGATATTGGAAGAGTCCCCATTGATCGGACTTTCACTCCTGATCGTTCCGGAAACATAATTGCACTGTAAAGCTACGTCATGCATAAATGCATTTATTTCTTCTTCTTGTTTGGTTTCAACTTTCACAATATCAGACATTGTCACACACGTAGAACTGTTCTTTGCAACTAACCAAAAAAAACTGTTAAATGGTAAACATTCGCCACAGCGTCAGATTGTTCACTGGTGGTTACTACACAGTCATTTAGAATACAACGTGACTCTGTAACGATGCGCATGCGTTGAGGTAGCCGCTGAAGGTGTGTTTCTGTACTAAATGAATCCTATTGTTTTCCGGGCCCGGGCTAACTTTGCCCCGGAAGCACTCATGCTGAAAATGTAACTCCCGTGGGGCTTTATGGCGATCGGGCACGCAAGGACTTAAAATACGCTACCCTCGCAATAGCAGATCTGTCATTATTGGTCGGGTGGTCGGCCTGTCCCAATAAAATAATAAAAAAAATAGGGCTCGAAATATTTTAACTGCACATTCAGCAAAGGTTGGTATTCAAAACCCCTATTAATCAGCAACATACTTTAACACTTAAGGTACCTTCAGTAATTAGTAGTAATACAATCACATACATAATCATATGCACAACATTTCTAAGGGGAGGTACGTCTGTAGATAAAAATGCAAGCAGTCGCCCACTTTAAGTAATGTAGATCAGTGCGATAAATCATCATACTCCACCAAAACTTGCCAACCCAAATTCTCCAGAATCATAATCGCCTCAATCGTCATGATCAATATGGATCGTTAACTTACCCTAAGTCAGCTTTACATTTGACAGTTTTATTGGGGCCTATTTGAATGTGGCCAAAAAAACAGGTACTTTATTAAGACGAAACAAGTCAATCAAAATAACTTAAAAGATAATTTTAATTAGGTATACGAACCGTGAGTTAAGTTCTTGTGTCTTAATAGATGTCTTCTCAAACAGTCATCATATTTGGTTGCGAAATCGCAGTGGTTACATTTTAAATCCTTCACGGTTTTATGTGTTTGCACGTGTTTCCTTAAATCGTACTTATTGTTACTGGCGTAATCGCACCGGGCACATTTTAAATCCTTGGTAGTCTTGTGTCTTGCCACATGTTTTCTAAAGCTCGACTTAGAGCTGGCCGCGAAATCACACTGGTCGCACTTGTAATTCATCAAAGTCTCGTGAGTTAACAGATGGGTCTTCAGATAATACTTGTCCTTAGTTGAGTAATTGCACAGTGCACATTTAAAATCGTTAGTGGTCTGATGTCGTAACAAATGTGATTTAATACTAGATGTGTAGTTAGTTGCGAAATCACACAGGTCACATTTAAACACCTTCGTAGTCTTGTGTTGTAACAGATGTGTTCTCAAATGGCACTTGAAATCCGTTGCATAATCACACTGGGCACATTTGAAATATTTGGCGGTCTTCCGTTTGTGCGTTAACATATGCGCTTTAAAACGGTATTTATTATTGGTTGCGTAATCGCAATGAACACATTTTAAATGCTTAGTACTACTGTGTGTTAGCAGATGTGTTTTAAAGCGAGATTTATAATCGCACGTGTAGCCACACAGGTCACATCTGAAAACCTTCGTAATTTTGTGTTTTAACGGATCTGCTTCTAAATTCGATTCGTTACTGGCTGCGTAATTGCACTGGGCACATTTTAAATCAGTGTCCATCTCGTGTCCTTTCAAACTCTGATTGTGCACTTCGGTTTGAGCTTCCCAATCAACCTTTATCGTTATATCGTTAGTTTCCCGCTTTATCATTCCAGACAAAATATTTCTATCAGTTAACGTATTTATTTCATCGTCTTCTTGTTTAATCTGAAGTTTAACAGATGCAGACTCCATTATGGCTACAGAAGTAATTAAGTACAATTTTAATTTAAAAAATCGGCTACATTCAGAATCGTTACCTAATTACTAAGCTCAACAATCGATTGGTTTTTTGTAGGTTAACACAGGCAGAAGATGGCGTCCAGTAACTAAAGAGACGCTAATTGCGGTTAATCGTGGCTCACGACTCGTAACGCAGAATTCATTTATCCTGGGACAGAATAGTATACAAAAGATGCGTTCGATGTTCCGTTTCAGAAGTACATAGGGCGTAGGTGGGAGATGTCACGTGATCACTAAGGCAAATTAATAACTGTAAATTTTTAGGTTAAAATAAACATGACCACGTGATCACGTTCCCCGTATCCGACGTGTGAAATTGTCGATTATCCGTATCCAACTTCCAATTTTCAGTTTTTCGTTGCAGTTTCCAATCTTTAAGTTCCAGTTTCCAATGTCATATGTCATGTGTAAAATTCGGCTACAATTTTGTTGCTTAAATAAACTTCGGCCTTGGCCTTCAACACAAACTAATTTAAATGGCATCTGGGAAAAAACTACTACGCAAAAATATTAAACAAAAACTACACCATCTCTCTTCTGATTCCTTCGACAACAGGAAATGCCTTTTGCAGGTAGTCGTGTGCTGGAAATCTCTCTTCTGATCTCTTCGTCCACAGGAAATGCCTTTTGCAGGTAATCGTGTACTGGAAATATCAAATCTTCCCTTTTCGATGTCTTTAATTTTACAGTCACAAATTCTGAAATTTATAGTATTTTACATTATTAGCGCAGTCCATATATTATACACACACACACTCGCTAAATATTTAAATTCTTTATTAAAGCAAACCATGAAGAACACTATTTATTACAAAATGTATATATATAAAAAATATGCATCCAAAATGTCATAACCGCCATCTTTTTTAAGCAATCTCATACAAAAGCGCTGTTGCCAGCAAACTTCTTTTACAACTCGGCCATTGCTGAATTAACCAGATTACAAGGAAAACGTACAGGCTAAAACGCCACTTTACTTAAGATGCGGAAGGATTGTTTTTGGACCAAGGTTTCATTCGAGATGATTCTACGATGCCCTCAAATGGGATTTGAGTTAACTGGAATCCCTCGACATCTTTTACAATATTCACTGCGATTTGGTCCATTACAAAGTTTTGGGTACTAACACGCTCTAACTGTCCACTAGCAGCTACATAACACTTTACATACACACATACAGCTTAGTAAATTTAACGAAGCCACAAATAAAATGTTTTAGGGCTTTACTAGTTTCTCAAGGTCACATGCAATCCACGAGACGTCTGATGCAACCCGGGGAACGTATACGAAACACCTTCATCAGTAAGTGAATAAACAGAGGTTTGAGATTTAGTGCAAAATACTTATACAATAATTTATTGTTAAATCATTTATGTTTTTTAAAGTGTATTATTAAACTGCTTTTGTAATTGGTCGCAAAGTCACAGTGGGCGCACCTTAAATCTTTGACAGCCTTGTGCGTTAGCTGATGTGTTCTTAAACTGGATTTGACATTGGTTCTGTAGTCACATTGGGCACATTTAAAATTTTTGATTGTCGCGTGATTCAAACATAAATTGCAATTGGATGCGTAATTACACTGGTCACATTTTATCTTGTGAATTAAGAGATGTTTATTAAGGCTGTTTTTGTATTGAGTTGCAAAATCACAGTGGATGCACTTATAATCTTTGACTCTGTTGTGAGTTAGCTGATGTTTTTTCAAATTGGATTTGTCATTGGTTGTGTAATGACACTTTTTACATTTAAAATACTTGACAATGTCGTGTTTTAACAGATGGGTTTTCAAGCTGGTTTTATACTTGGTGGAATAATCACACTGTGCACATTTTAAACTCTTGGTAGTCTGGTGTGTTAACATATGATTTTTCAAACTGACTTTATATTTGGTTGCGTAATCACACTGTACACATTTCAAATGCCTGGTAGTCTTGTGAGTTAAGAGATGTACATTGTAATTGTATTTATAATGAGTTGCAAAATCACACAGGGTACACTTAAGATCTTTGACTGTCTTGTGCGTTAGCAAATGTATGTTCAAAGTGGATTGATACTTACTTCCAAAGGTACAAAAAGTACATTTGAAATCACTGGCAGGTTTGTGCGTTATCACGTGGTTTTCCAAATGCTTGTCAGTCTTATTGTGTCGTAGCAAATGCAGTTTTAAGGAGCTTTTGTAATTGGTCGCAAAATCGCAATGGGCACACCTTAAATCTTTGGAGGTCTTGTGAGATAGAAGGTGTTGTTTCATACGGACTGTATTATTGGTAGTGTAAAAACAATGAGTGCATTTTAAATCTTTACCAGTACTGTGTGTTCGCAAATGTACCCATAAGGTGGATTTATACTTACTGACAAAATCACAATGAGCACAATTAAACTTTTTTGACGTTTCCGATTGGTCAACATGTTCAAATTCGTTCTCCTGCCGAACTTCATTTCCATCTGAGTCCCCATTGATCGTACTTTCACGCTTGATTGCTCCGGAGACATAATTGCTCTGTAACACTATGCCATCCATAAATGCATTTATTTCCTCTTCTTGTGTGATTTCCACTTTTACAACTGCTGACTCTGACATCGTCACTCAAGTAGAAATGATAAGTAAATGATAAGTAACCAAAAAACTGTTAAAATTCTTTATAAAGTGCTTGTCTTCGATCGGACGATTGAAGGTCTTTTGTCTTGACTGTGGTTCAATAAGTTCAAACTGATAAAGGTGGCTACTATACCGACGATCCATTGGAATTGGATGCGACTGTGTAAAGATGCGTTGTTAGCCGCTGTAGTTCAAGAAGTGTTCCACAAACTTCGAACAACACTTGTACCTCAACATGCACGTGGAAGTGTCTCACGTATCTGACGCCCAAAAAAAAAAGTCGGGCGTACGGTGATCGTGTTCAAGCATTGAACTATATACAGTTAACAACTACAAAGTTCATGTGCTCAAGTATTTACCAGTGGTACCAATATCTCATTGGAATGGTGTATAAAAAAATTAATTAATAAAATTAAAAATAATCATCTTTTTACAATAATTACTGAAATAATCGCTGCAATCGCAATAATTGCATCGTCTAATACGGCCTTTAGACCAAACTTTTGCAGCGCTACGAACATAGCTGACAATAAAAATACATTTGCTAGTGTTGGGCGGTAACCTACCAGTTAAGGTGCAAATACCCGCGAAAAACTTAAATCTTTATTAAAACACGAAATACATTAACTACAAATTACAAAAATGTCATAGACGCCATCTTATATTAATCAATCAGAACTTGTGAAGAATACTCGAGATTTACTGTGAAATCATCTCATGTGAATTTCTTGGTCTTACTTATACATTACTAACACCTTAGACTATGAATTCTCTAAGACTACACTTATACAATAACCTAAAAGTACATTTGTTGTTGATGGTATGGCCCCATTATGCACAATTAAATCCTTTTTTTTTAAATTTAATTATTACACTGTTTTAGTAATGGGTTGCAAAATCACTATGGAGATACCTAATATCTTTGACAGTCTTGTTTGGATGTGTCCTTAACACTACAGAAGTCGCTATATTTTTTGGGACACGAATAGTCGCTGAGGACTCATGGTCCGTAAGGCTTATATATGGCCCTATAGGGTTAATTTGGAGAGCAGACTTCGGCAATGCTGCGGTACTGAACTTCGCCTTCATTTGAATGTTTTGGAATAAATGTTTCTTTCTTTTTTTGAATAATTATATATATATAATTATTCAAAAGAGAAAGATTTATTCCAAAACATTCAAAAAAATACATATAAATTATTATTACTACAACAAAATATATATATAATAGTTTAAAATAACATAAAAAATAAGCATATTCATTTACCAAAAAGCCCTTTGGATACATTCAATACCTATGGAACGGACAGTTAGCACTGATTCTTCAGAAGGGCATTGTCAGAATGTAACAAGAGCATGAGAGCGGTGGTCTAAATAGTCGCGTAATTACAAACAAATCAATGGTGCTGAGCGAGAGTCCGCACGCGACCACTGTACGGTAAATGCTATTCACAGAGGTCACATTGTAAAAAATTTGATGCTCTTGTGATTTTTATTAATAAGTTGCAAATTAAGATGACTTACTCCAAATCATTGCTGGTGTTGTGTCTTAGCTGATGTTTTTTCAAATAGGATTTCCTATTGGTCGCATAAGAACACTGTGCACATTTCAAATGCTTGGTAGCTTGAGTCTGGTGTGATACCAGATGGAATTTCAAAAGTTGATTACTAGCGGTTGTGTAATCACACTGTACACATTTCAAATGCTTAGTACGGTGTATTATCACGTGTTTTCTCAAATTGGCTCTACACCAGCTTGCGTAATCACACTGTGCACATTTGAAAACCGTGGCAGTTGTGTGAGTTAAGAGATGTACATTATATTTGTTTTTAAAATGAGTTGCAAAATCACATTGGGTACACTGGTAACTTTTGCCGGTCTTGTGTATTTGCTGATGTGATCTCAAATTACCTTTACTAAAAGTTTTGTAATCGCACTGGTCACATTTTAAATTTCGAATGTTCTGGTGAATTAAGAGATGGTCATTATAACGGGCTTTATGAAAACTTGCATATTTACATTGGGTGCACTTATAATGTTTCCTGGTGTGTGTTAGCTTATGGTTTACCAAATCCAATTTGTCATTGGTTACGTAATCACACTGTAGACATTTGAAATCTTTGGTAGTCTTGTGCGTTAATAGATGTTTTTTCAAATTGAGTTTATAGGCGCTTGTGTAATCACACTGTACACATTTAAAACCCTTGGTAGTCTGGTGTGATAACAAGTGTTTTTTCAAATTGCCTTTACGCGTAGTTACGTAATCACACAGTACACATTTCGAATGCTTGGTAGTCTGGTGAATCAACGTATGTCTTTTCAATTTGTCTTTATTCATGGTTTTGTAATCACATTGCGCACATTTCAAATCCTTGGTAGTCTGATGTGTAAACAGATGTTTTTTCAAATAGGCCTTGCTCGCGGTTGTGTAATCGCACTGTACGCATTTCAAATGCTTGGTGGTCTTGTGTGTTAACAGATGCCTTGTAAAATTGGATCTTACCATGGTTACGTAATCACAATGTGCACATTTCAAATGCGAGATCTCGTGAGTTAAGAGATGCGCACTATACTTGTTTTTACAACGAGTTGCAAAATCACATTGAGTGCATTGAAAATCTTGGACACTCTTGTGTTTTAGCTGATGTGTATTCAAATTGGATTTTGTATCAGTTTTGTAATCACACTGGTCACATTTTAAATTTCTCATGTTCTTGTGAGTTAATAAATGTTTATTATACGAGGTTTTATAATTAGTGGTAAATATACATTGAGTACACTTAAAATCTTTCATGATGTTGTGTGTTAGCTTATGGTTTTTCAAATCCGTTTTGCGATTGGTTGCGTAATCGCACTGTACACATTTCAATTGCTTTTCGGTCTGGTGTTTTATCAGATGGTATTTTAAATAGGATTTATCCATGGTTGCGTAATCACACTGTGCACATTTCAAATGCTTGATGGTCCGGTGAGTTAACAGATGTCTTCTCAAAAGGCCTTTAACCGAGGCTGCGTAATCACAATGTGCACATTTCAACTCCTTGGTAGTCTGGTGTGTTAACAGATGTCTTTGAAAGTGGGATTTAGACGAGGTTGCGTAATTACACTGTGTACATTTTAAATGCTTGGTAGTCTTGTGAGTTAAGACATGTACACTATAATTGTTTTTATCAAGAGTTACAAAATCACATAGGGTACACCGAAAATCTTTGACTGTCATATGGGTTAGCAAGTGGTTGCCCAAATTATGTTTCCTATTAGTTTTGTAATCACACTGGTAACATTTTAAATTTCTGATGGTGTTGTGAATTAGAAGATGTTTATTATAGCTGTCTTTATAAGGAGTTGTAAATTTACATTGGGTGCACTTAAAATCTTTCATTGTGTTGTGTGTTAGCTTATGTTTTCTCAAATCCGATTTGTATTTGGTTGCGTAATCACACTGTACACAGAATAAATGCTTGGCAGACTGGTGTGTTAACAGATGTCTATTTAAATTGGATTTAAAATTGGTAGTGTAATCACACTGTGTACATTTCTTTTGCCTGGTAGTCTTGTGAGTTAAGATATGTAGATTAAAATTGCATTTAAAATGACTTGTATAATCACATTGGGTACATTTAAGATCTTTGACTGTTCTGAGTGTTTGCAAATGTAACCTCAAAATGGATTTACGCTGACTCACAAAATCACAATGGGCACAAGTGAAGTTTTTTGGAATTTGCTTAACGTACGAAAAATTTTCGGAATGTTCAATTACCTCACCATCCTGCCAAACTTCATTTCCATCTGTTGAAGTGCACGTCACATTGGAAGAGTCCTCATTGATTGTACTTTCACTCCTGATGGTTCCAGAGACACAATTGCTCTGTAACACCACGTCCTCCATAAGTGCATTTATTTCTTCTTCCTGTGTGATTTCAACTTTTACAATTTTGGACATTGTCACAGAAGCAGAACTGTTCTTCTTTTGGGAGCATTTAAAGATGTCGCATTTTCTCAAATGTACCCTCAAGGCGGATTTACGATTACTCGCGAAATCACAGTGGGCACAATTAAATTTTGACGAAATTTGCGGTTGATTGGTAGTACCCTCACTCCTGATTGTTCCGGAGACACAATTGCTCTGTAACACTACGTCATCGACAAATGAATTTATTTCTTCTTCTTGTTTGGGTTCAAGTTTTGCAATTTCTGACATTGCCACAGCAACAGAACTGTTCTTCTTTTGCGAGCATTTGAAGATGTCGCATTTTCTCAAATGTACCCTCAAGGCGGATTTACGATTACTCGCGAAATCACAGTGGGCACAATTAAATTTTGACGAAATTTGCGGTTGATTGGTAGTACCCTCACTCCTGATTGTTCCGGAGACACAATTGCTCTGTAACACTACGTCATCGACAAATGAATTTATTTCTTCTTCTTGTTTGGGTTCAAGTTTTGCAATTTCTGACATTGCCACAGCAACAGAACTGTTCTTCTTTTGCGAGCATTTGAAGATGTCGCATTTTCTCAAATGTACCCTCAAGGCGGATTTACGATTACTCGCAAAATTACAATGGGCACAATTAAATTTTGTCGAAATTTGCGGTTGATTCGACCCATTGATCGTACCTTCACTCCTGATCGTTCCAGAGACATAATTGCTCTGTAACACTACCTCATCCGCAAATGAATTAATTTCTTCTTCTTGTTTGGGTTCAACTTTTGCAATTTCTGACACTGCCACGCAAGTAGAACTGTTCTTCTTTTGCGAGCATATGAAGATATTGCAGTTTCTCAAATGTAGACTCAAGGCGGATTTACAATTACTCGCGAAATCACAGTGGGCACAATTAAATTTTGTCGAAATTTGCGGTTGATTGATAGTACCTTCACTCCTGATTGTTCCGGAGACACAATTGCTCTGTAACACTACGTCATCGACAAATAAATTTATTTCTTCTTCGTGTTTGGGTTCAACTTTTGCAATTTCGGACATTATCACAGAAGCAGAACTGTTCTTCTTTTGGGAGCATTTGAAGATGTCACATTTTATCAAATGTATCCTCAAGGCGGATTTACGATTACTCGCGAAATCACAGTGGGCACAATTAAATTTTGCCGAAATTTGCGGTTGATTGATTGTACCTTCACTCCTGATTGTTCCGGAGACACAATTGCTTTGTAACACTACATCATCCACAAATGCATTAATTTGTTCTTCTTCTTTAATTTCAACTTTTGCAATTTCCGACATTGTCGCACAAGTAGAACTATTCTTCGCGATCGCGAGTAACCAAAAAAACTGTTAAATTCTTTGCAAAACACGAGGCACAGCGTCTTCGATCGGACGATTGGAGGCCTTTTTTCTCGACGGTGGTGGTTACTATACCGACTCATTAGAGGGTGGTGGTTATGGTTACTATACCGACTCATTCGCTTTTCATTCAGGACATTCGCTTTTGGGATAGTACCAACATAAATGGGGAAACAAAAAATAACTAGGACCGGGCCACGAACTTATAAATTAAGCTGGACTGCTAATGCTGAATTAACAAATGACACCTACATGGGGGCCGCCATGATGTGCACTCACTTAGCGCGAAATTCAAATCAACTAATAAACAAGCATTAACCTCACGTTTTCTAAATAAATTACTGTGACACATGTCATTTTCCAAGGCTACAATAGTCTCAAAACTTGAGCACTAGGAAAATTCACCTAGAAAATAACTAAAACGTGCACATCATGGCAGCGCCCATGCTAGGGCCAATTCTACCTCTGTGCAACTGTTTGATCAGCAGTCCATCTTAATTTATAAGTTCGTGGACCGGGCTGAAGTTACATTTGTTTTTTTTTAATCAATGGCTTTCGAAAGTGATGGCACCGGGACCAATTTTCATCCCCTTTTTGAAAAAGAATACTGCAAGTTGCAAGTGAGCCCTTGGGCCTCCACGGCGCCCTTATCCTCCGCCTGCAAAACTCACTCAATTTTAATAAATTAATTTTGAATTGCAACTTTCATTATTCGTATACCGCCCCATTGACCAAACAAAAGGGAATTTTTCGAACTTGTGGGGCACTTTTCGAAAAATGACAGTTAGAGGGTTTTAGGTAGGCCCTTGGGCCACCACGGTGCCCTTATCCTCCGCGTACAAAATGCACTCAATTTTATTAAATTAATTTTGAATTGCAACTTGCATTATTCGTATACCGCGCCATTGACCAAACAAAAGGGAATTTCTCGAACTGCGGGGCACTTTTCGAAAAATGACAGTTAGAGGGTATTAGGTAGGCCCTTGGGCCACCACGGTGCCCTTATCCTCCGCGTGCAAAATGCACTCAATTTTAATAAATTAATTTTGAATTGCAACTTGCATTATTCGTATACCGCGCCATTGACCAAACAAAAGCGAATTTTTCGAACTGTGGGGCACTTTTCGAAAAACGACAGTTAGAGGGTTTTAGGTAAGCCCTTGGGCCTCCACGGCGCCCTTATCCTCCGCGTTCAAATCTCACTCATTTTTAATAATTGAATTTTGAATTGCAACTTGCATTATTCGTATACCGCGCCATTGACCAAACAAAAGGGAATTTCTCGAACTGCGGGGCACTTTTCGAAAAATGACAGTTAGAGGGTATTAGGTAGGCCCTTGGGCCACCACGGTGCCCTTATCCTCCGCGTGCAAAATGCACTCAATTTTAATAAATTAATTTTGAATTGCAACTTGCATTATTCGTATACCGCGCCATTGACCAAACAAAAGCGAATTTTTCGAACTGTGGGGCACTTTTCGAAAAACGACAGTTAGAGGGTTTTAGGTAAGCCCTTGGGCCTCCACGGCGCCCTTATCCTCCGCGTTCAAATCTCACTCATTTTTAATAATTGAATTTTGAATTGCAACTTGCATTATTCGTATACCGCGCCATTGACCAAACAAAAGGGAATTTCTCGAACTGCGGGGCACTTTTCGAAAAATGACAGTTAGGGGGTTTTAGGTAGGCCCTTGGGCCACCACGGTGCCCTTATCCTCCGCGTGCAAAATGCACTCAATTTTAATAAATTAATTTTGAATTGCAACTTGCATTATTCGTATACCGCGCCATTGACCAAACAAAAGCGAATTTTTCGAACTGTGGGGCACTTTTCGAAAAACGACAGTTAGAGGGTTTTAGGTAAGCCCTTGGGCCTCCACGGCGCCCTTATCCTCCGCGTTCAAATCTCACTCATTTTTAATAATTGAATTTTGAATTGCAACTTGCATTATTCGTATACCGCGCCATTGACCAAACAAAAGGGAATTTCTCGAACTGCGGGGCACTTTTCGAAAAATGACAGTTAGGGGGTTTTAGGTAGGCCCTTGGGCCACCACGGTGCCCTTATCCTCCGCGTGCAAAATGCACTCAATTTTAATAAATTAATTTTGAATTGCAACTTGCATTATTCGTATACCGCGCCATTGACCAAACAAAAGCGAATTTTTCGAACTGTGGGGCACTTTTCGAAAAACGACAGTTAGAGGGTTTTAGGTAAGCCCTTGGGCCTCCACGGCGCCCTTATCCTCCGCGTTCAAATCTCACTCATTTTTAATAATTGAATTTTGAATTGCAACTTGCATTATTCGTATACCGCGCCATTGACCAAACAAAAGGGAATTTCTCGAACTGCGGGGCACTTTTCGAAAAATGACAGTTAGAGGGTATTAGGTAGGCCCTTGGGCCACCACGGTGCCCTTATCCTCCGCGTGCAAAATGCACTCAATTTTAATAAATTAATTTTGAATTGCAACTTGCATTATTCGTATACCGCGCCATTGACCAAACAAAAGCGAATTTTTCGAACTGTGGGACACTTTTCGAAAAACGATAGGTAGAGGGTTTTAGGTGAGCCCTTGATCCACCACGGCGTCCTAATCCTCCGCGTGCAAAACCCCCTCAATTTTTATAAATTAATTTTGAATTGTAACTTGCTTTATTCGTATGCCGCGCCATTGACAAAAAAAGCGAATTTCTCGAACTGTGGGACAGTCTTCGAAAAACGACATATACAGGGTTGTAGATGAGCCCTTGGGCCACCACAACGCCCTAATCCTCCGCGTGCAAAACCCCCTCAATTTTTATAAATTAATTTTGAATTGCAACTTGCATTATTCGTATGCCGCGCCATTGACAAAAAAGCGAATTTTTTGAACTGTGGGGCGCTTTTTTTCGTGTTTTAGGGCTCTCTTCCATAGACCACTGACAGGGGATGAAAATAGGTCCCTGTGCCGTCACTTTCAGATGCAGTTTATTAAAAAAAAATACGAATGTACCTTCACCCCGTTTTTAGTTTATTTCTTGTTTTCCATTTAGGTTGGTACTATCCCAAAAGCCGAATGTCCTTGAAAAAAAGCGAATGTAACTTCAGGCTAGTCAAACTATGCTGCAATGGAATTTGTTGTAACCGGGGTTCCACTGCTCCTATCCGGTGCAGTTGCGTTTAAGGTGGTAAAACAATTTATTAAGCACATTGTAGGCAAGGTTGCCATAGGGTAAGGAACATAAATTGTGATATAAATAGCATGTAAACGCTAACAATAAATATGATCAGTTCAGCATCAGGTTTGAGTGATAAGAAAATCCCGGACCGGTGTGTAAGTTTGCTTGGGCGAACATTAGGACTTACAACCCTAACGCCACACCAGCAATTCCACCTTTAATGAATCGTTTGGAAACAATAAAACCATGTTTCCAGAATGCAAAACCACATGTTGGCGTCCAGTCGCGCATTGCATATTTTTACATACGCATCTAAAAAATGGGCTCTTGATGGTGCAATAGTGGGTAACTCCATTAAACCTTTTCTTGGATTATCTTTAACGGAAACCAATATTCCCTTTTCTTAAGGAACTCTGGGACCCATTAAATACGTCTTCGTCCCTTGCAAACGATGTTCTAAAATACAAACGTAAACTGCTTATAATATCGAAACAAATATTAATATAACACAGTTGACATAAACTCAATCATTCATAGTGTGTTGGATCATGTGAAACCATCAACATCGCTTAACGGGTTTCTTACATTGCCTTGCTATTTAGGACAGTGTGACATAGAAATCACTGTTCGCAGGCTAGTATTTAATGCATCCGCAACTCTCTGAAATGAAACTTGTTACGTATACGAATTCTTTTATTAGTAAAGTATCCACTGACCTCTGTTACTGCTGCGACTGGTAAAAGTGTACCACAATTATCTCTTTCTCGTTCAAAATAATGAATAAGATAGAAATAAGATGCTTACTTTTTCTTGGTGAATCCGATGGCATGGAAGTAATTGTTCGTTATTAAACTAACGGATTTTTTTATCGGCTAACACGCGATAAAATAGGTTAGTTAGGGGTTTTCATTGTATGGTTAGTTAGTTAAAGGAAAAGTGTGAGAATTTTCCGCTCAATCATGTAATGTATGTTACCGTTTTCCTGGGTTTCCCTCAACATACGCGTAGAGATTAGATGTTAAATGTTATTGTCAATTTATTGCTGCTTTTATTGTTTCATAAAACTTGCTGATAGCGCTTAACCAAACTAAAAATGGCAATAAAACATTTAATAATTGTATAAATGATAACAGTACTTGCAAAGGAAATTACATCTATTTATGTATATCGGAAATGTGACGTTTTACATACAATAAATATTCAATTACTTAAAAAAAATGTACCTCCTCTTAGCTATCTACGATTTGCACCTAACCAACAATAGATCTCCTAGTAAAATTAGCACACCGAAGCTAACCGAATTCAGAATTTTATTATTGCAAAACGAGTCCTATTTTGTTCGCCTGCATGCTCGGACATTTCCAATTGTACAAGTAATATTGCAAATTGCCGTCGCCGATTCCGAACTTCAGCGTCTCCAGGAACTCCTTGTTGTCCATTAGGTCGAGCGCGTTGAAGACGTCGAATTCGAGCTGCTTCGCCGAGATGAGACCGTCGTTCATCAGATCGACCCACGGCGTCTTCGCGGAGACGTTGTAGAACGAGTAGGCGGCCTTCAGGGTCTTGTGCACGGGATGGTGCATGACGGTCGACGGCAGGGTGTAGTAGCTGACGAAGTCGGTGACGACGCCGCCGTTCTCGACGATGAAGCTGTCGACGATGCCGGCCTGCGGCAGGAACCAGTGCACGAAGTCCTCCTGGGAGAAGTGGGGCGCGAGGTCGAAACGCTTCAGATACTGTCAAAAATTTTTAGTGAGCGCTCAGCGTACACTTTCGTCAGAAGCGGGCGCGTGAAAAACACAGACACGGTGATATAAGTGGGCCGTAAGCAATGAAGAGGCGAGGCGGAGCAGACATGTGATTATCATCGCGCTTTTGTAATGAACTCAGAATTCCGACGTTAGGCCATCATTGCCTCAATGTTGAATTCGGAATTACGATTGTGACCTCAAAATGTCAAATTTACTTACTGTAAAAACTAACACAATAGTTCTTCAGGCTGAGTGTTTTGTGGGGGAGTGCACCACCGGGAGGTCTGGGGGGTATGGAATACTCCCCAGTCTACCAAGCCCCTATAATAGTTACAGGGAAGAGAACATTGAATCCAGAACTCTCCATGGAAGAACGTTTTAATGATCTTTCTTCTACAACTGCCACAAGAT